TACACGCCGCCATTGGGGACAATGTGGGCTTGCCATCCACAGATGCTTGGATCTGCGGATGACAAGTCCATGGATACTGAGGGCCGACTGTATAACAGGTGTTTCTCAAACTACAATACCTTCATAGGGAGGTTAAGAAACAAATTAACAAAACGAGTAATATACAGGAACCATCTACTACAAGGTAGGCTACAGCCAGTTTTGGAGAATAACACAGGCCTCACAAGCTCTGGGAGGCAGGCATTTATTGCACTACAGACAGTCTCTAAGATCTGGAGATAGACAACTACTTGCTTACAACAATGGATGGTAGTTCAGAAACATGATCCTGCCACATTCTGCTCATGCAAAAATTGAGAGTTTGATGTATACACAGGGTGCCACATGTACTGTGAATCCATGGGACAGATTCCTAATTTTGGCTTAGGTTTTATTCTGTTTATGCAAAACTTTAGAGCCTAAAGTATATGTACAGTGCCACTTCTACTGATGGCAATACATGGCAAAAGGAATAGCAATAATAATTATTATAATAAAGATGCAGTGGTTAAGGTAAACTGAAAAATGAATATATTGTTATAGGTACAGAGATATAAAATATATTTGCAGATATGCAGATCATTTTTATATTCACTGGTTATAAGCTATTAAACTATTTCATTGCATTTTTCCCTGTGGGGTACCTCTTTCTGTTGCCTGAATGTGAAAAGGCAATTTGAAAGTTTATGCAAAAATCACAGACACAAAATAAAGAGTAGAATCTACTTTTGAATTGGAGATTTCTATTCCATCTAAACTATATAACCAAGATAACCAAGGCTTTAAATTTTTAAAGGACCTGAACGTTTTTTCTTCCTTTTGATGAGAAGAAAGTGACTGGCTAAATCCTGTTTCATAACTCTAGAGATACTACTGAAAATAGGACAGCAAGGTTCATGAAGAGGGTTTCCTTGTATTGCGTTTTCAACAAATGGCTTGAAAGCTGGGAGTAAAAGAAAAAGAACATCCAAAATTCTTTTTATTCTAAAAATGCAGAAGGATGAGGGAGTGAATAAAACATGTCTATCATATGTCTATTTTTATAAATATACAGACAGGTAGCTGTTGAATATCGTTACAAATGCAGTCATATGTATAAACAGCATTCTGTTCAATTAAACAAATAAATACATTCAGTTTGTAGAGAAAAATATGGACAAATATGGAAAATCAGCAAATATTGGTATCTTGTAAATGTCTCATAATGGTTGCAATGATAAAGGGAGTATCACCATTGACTATTGAAAGTCTTTTACATTATTAATATTAAAATCTAATAATGCTTTGTAATTTCTTTTACTGGCAAACAATTCAGATCTGTACCCACATTTCTAGATGATAACTAAGAACACTACAGTATTTTGATTTTTCTACATTGTTGTTGTTAATTGCTGTCATGTTGACTTCAACTTATGGCAAACCTATGGCAGAGAAACCTCCAAGGCATCATGTCATCAACAGCCGTACTTAGATCCTGCAAACTCAGGCCATCCTGTAGGTAACTTGGACCCATACTATGTAGGGCTTTAAAGGTAATAACCAACACTTTGTACCTTGCCCAGAAACTAATTGGCAGCCAGTGGAGTGATTTTAATACTGGTGTAATGTGACCACTCCTGGATGTCCCAGTAATCAATTTGGCTGCTATGTTTTGGACTAGCTAAGGTTTCTGAACTTGGTACAGAGGTAGCCCAATGTACAGCACAATGCAGAAGTCCAGCCTTGAGGTTACTAGCTTGTATACTACCATTTTTAGGTCCTCCAGCTCTAGGTAGGTAGATCTAGGCAGCTGTAGGTAGGTAGATGGTCCAAATAGCAGACGTAACAGGAGCAAGGTGTGTGGGGGGGAGTTTATTTCTGCAGCAGAAATAGGCTACATCCACACTGCAGACATAACCTGTTTTACACCACTTTAACTGACATGGCTCAATGCTGTAGAATTTTGGGAGTTGTAGTCTGTTGTGGCACCTGAGCTCTCTGACAGAGTAAGCTAAATGTCTCACAGAATGACAATTCCCAGAATTTCATAGCACTGAGCCATGTCAGTTGGAAATGCTGACATCTTAGATCAAAGCACATCATCTCTGTTTCCCATTCATCAGCACCTTTAGGCTGTCCCAGAGACAGGGGAATCACTTGGGGGTGCAGGCTGCATCAGGTGACACCCTAAGTGGGGTGACACACCACTGCTTCCCAAACATCTACCTTTTGGCAGAAATGAGTTGTGGTGTTTGCTTGCATCCCTTTAAAATGCTGAAGGGATGGGACGACTGGAGTGCGGCTCAGTGAGAGGAAAAAAGAGAGGTCTCAGGGTTTTTAAAAAAATAATTTTTAAAATTAAAAAAAATATTTTAATATATATATATATATATATATATATATATATATATATATATATTAAAAACATCTCATTTTACCACATGAAACTATGTACATGTAAATACATTTAAGTTGTGCATATGGAATAGTATAGACATAGATAAAGGAATAATTTTAATTTTGCTAGTTGGTTATATCACAACTATTATCATTGCATTGGGAATTACAATTCATGAATAACATTAGTACAATACACATTCCTAAGGATTCTTTATGGGGTGGTATGGGAGGAGTTCAGTGAGGGAAGTGACACCATGAGCTACTGCACAAGGAGACACCATTGCCCAGAGATGCTTATGTTTGTTCTTATCTGTTTATCAAAACAAATAGTATGTGTAATTCAGTCAACAGGAACTTCGGATGTTTACAAGGAGTGTGTCACTTAAATAAGGAATATTTTAATTAACACTTGTAAATCAAGCAGAAGGTCCCCTTCCTTATCTATATGTTAAATACAAGAAAAAGACAGGGGTGTAAGAGTTACCAATTGCATACATGAGTCTCCTGCTTTCAAATGATGGAGATTTCAGGGCTCATGAGTCCAGCTTGGGAACAGGAGATTTATAAACTAAGAGTGAGAGTTTTCATTTTTATTACCTGTATTTTCATGTGTATAAGACGACTGGGCATATAAGACGACCCCCAACTTTTCCAGTC